TATAAGTTTCAAAGTGAAAAGATTTTTTTTGTCTCCGTCATACATACGTATGACACGGCAAATCTTTGTACACTAATTTCTGTAATTTCTTTCTAATAACTGTTAGTTTTGGTAARAACATTATCAATTGATTCAGTTGTGTTTAAGCGAATTATGAGTAGGTACCTATTGTTAACTTGTGATATTTCAGTTACACATATCTTGCTTGAAAATTAAAATATACTGGAAAATTCACCGACGCTTGAACACTGTTCTGTGTCTAAATGTTTGATTTAGGTTAATTCATTATTATGTCAAAACTAACAACACAGTATTGAAAGTGATGTTGTACGTTTGTAAAACAAAGACAAAAAACGGGTGGGCGCTGGGTAGTTTCATCTTAAGATACTTATTTAGAGTGTTAAAATATCAAATTTTTATTAACAACGGTCAACGATTGATTTCATTACTTATACTTATTTGAATTTTATTTCATAACATTTTTTTTTTTAAATATGAAATATTGGCGCTGGGCGGTAACCTACTATAACTTAATGGTACTAACCAAAACCGCGGTAAACGTTGATTATAATATGCATCGTATCCACTGAACTCTATACATATAGAGTTCAGTGATCGTATCATATTATGACGTGTTATCATAATTAAACAATGTTGGGTTTTATTAAAAATTTATAATATTTATATACAACGATTTACGGAAAGTTGTCGGGATTTATACTTATCGAATGCCAAAGTTTTCACTCAAATAAGCGTTTGGATTGTATTTTATCTGTGAGGAATTTTTACCTTTCAGTCACGATGTCGTCAATAGTAGAACAGCCTTGCTACACTCTGATCAATATTTCTAGCGACTATGAAATGCCCAACGAAATGCAACTCAAGTCAGATCTTGGTAAGTGTTATTCATCCGTCGTGGTTGTTTATTAAATTATTATTAATAATATTTAATTTTGATACATTTACAGAAAAAGGTGATAGCAAAACAAAAATTGAAGCATTGAAAAAAGTCATTTATATGATAGCCAATGGAGAACGTTTGCCTGGACTTTTAATGATAATAATCCGTTTTGTCTTACCGTTACAAGATCATACAATTAAAAAACTACTTTTAATATTTTGGGAAATAGTACCGAAAACTACACCTGATGGAAAACTTTTACAGGAAATGATATTAGTCTGTGATGCATATCGAAAGGTAAATAAAGATGTTACTTTTTTATAGTCTAGTTAACCTATAACAMATTTATCATAAATCAAAATGAAGTGGTATATATGTTAGTACTTTTCTAATGTAAAATCTGTCATACTGATGAGTCAATTTATTGAGTTTGAAAGTTTCCTTTTTTTATTTATATAGTAGCCGTTAGGTATGTTACATCTTTTCTATATTTTATTTACAGATTTTAAAGTCTTTTAAATTTTAAATATTGATCCCTATTTTTAGTTTCAAATRCTATTAATGCTGATTATAAATTCATTAATACAAATTGTGTTTATTTATTTATTTAGGATTTACAACATCCAAACGAATACTTAAGAGGGTCGACACTTAGATTCTTGTGTAAATTGAAAGAACCTGAGTTATTAGAACCTTTGATGCCTACTATACGTGCTTGTCTTGAACACCGTCATTCCTATGTAAGACGTAATGCTGTATTAGCAATATTCACTATTTATAGGTAATTTAAATTTGTAWATTCAGTTAAAATAATTATTTTTATTTTAAATTATAATTGTGTCAATTTCAACTTATAAAATAGAAACTTTGAATTTTTGATACCGGATGCTCCTGAACTTATTGCTAATTTTCTTGATGGGGAGCAAGATATGTCTTGCAAACGTAATGCTTTTATGATGTTGCTACACGCTGACCAAGATAGAGCGCTTACATATCTGGCTTCTTGTCTGGATCAAGTAGCTTCTTTTGGTGACATTTTGCAACTAGTTATTGTAGAACTCATATATAAAGTAAGAGAACATTTAATAAATTAAATAATTTGTATTAATAACTGTGTTTTACTAAAATTAGGTATGTCATGCAAATCCTTCAGAACGATCCCGTTTCATACGYTGTATTTACAATTTACTTAATTCTAGTAGCCCAGCTGTTCGTTATGAGGCTGCTGGAACATTGGTCACCTTGTCAAATGCACCTACTGCCGTTAAGGTATTTTGTTATAACATTTATAGATATAAATAATAAAATGAAAAATTGATATAGGCTGCAGCTTCTTGTTATATTGAGTTGATTGTAAAAGAAAGTGATAACAACGTAAAACTAATTGTTTTGGATCGTTTAATTGCTCTCAAAGAACACCCTTCACATGAAAGAGTGCTTCAGGACTTGGTCATGGATATACTAAGAGTATTATCCAGCACTGATTTGGAAGTTAGAAAGAAAACATTGAATCTGGGTAAATCATCCTTACTATTATTTACACTAAATACTAATTACTAAGTATGTATTTAAAATGTAATAATATATTGATGTTTGTTTCTATAGCTATGGATTTGGTATCATCACGTAATATTGAGGAAATGGTGTTTGTGCTCAAAAATGAAGTGGAAAAAACCCATAATTTAGCTGAACATGAAGATACTGGAAAGTATAGGCAATTATTGGTGCGCACACTGCATACGTGTTCTATTAAGGTTTGTTATTGTTTTATAAAGTAAATTGTAGAATGTTTATTTTTATTCATATAATGTTTTATAGTTTCCAGATATAGCTGCAACTGTGATCCCTGTACTCATTGAATTCTTGTCAGATAGTATAGAATTAGCTGCCACAGACGTTATGGTATTTTTGCGTGAAGCAATTTATCTCTTTGAATCATTACGTCCTCTCATAATTCAGCGTCTATTAGAAGTTTTCCAATCTATTAAGTCTGCCAATGTGCACAGAGCTGCATTATGGATACTTGGTGAATTTGCCAACTCACAAGAAGATATTGAAGCAACAATTGAACAAATAAAAACATCACTTGGAGACGTATGTTATTGATTTGATTTAAATTTTGAAAATGGGTTTTAACTTTTAAGTTAAAACTATTACAGAAAATATGCACAAATTCATTGTTATGAATAGTAAGATTTTGGCATATTAATTTTAAACTATCAACGAGTTTTATTCAAATAATGATTACCATCATCTATTACAAACAGCAATGGAATTTAAAACTATTGACATCTAAAATAATAAATTAAAATTTTTTGGTGATGTTAAAAAAAGTTTCAATTAGTTACCAACTGATCTATATTCTATACTCTATATTATATTATATTATATATCTATATTCTATACCATACAGATTAATTCAATATTTAAAATTTTGACATTTTAAAMATTTTGAAAGATACTRTATCACAGAACAATATTTTATAATGTTTGACTTATGAGTTACTAACAATATTTTTTAATTTTCTCCTTCTTTAAATAAAATTATCTTACTAAAAATATTAATCCTTATTAATTRTTCCCTTTCCAATATAAAACTATTTGGTGAAAAGTTTTTATTTAACAGTTTAATAAATAGTAATATCATTACAATTTGTTATTTATATGTATTTGRTTTATTTTAGATGCCCTTGGTTGAAGATGAGTTGAAGAAAGCAGCTGGAGATTCAGAAAACATTGAAGAATTTGGGTCTAGTGGTTCACAGTTGGTTACATCTGATGGTACATATGCTACTCAATCAGCATTTATTATAAATACTCCTCGTAGTAATCAGGCAAAACGACCCCCATTACGCCAGTATCTAATTGATGGGGATTTCTACATTGGTGCAGCATTAGGCACTACATTCACTAAATTGGGCATTCGATATGCTGGAATTTGGGAAGAAAAAGATTCAATAAAGGCTAATCAATTTTGTGTTAAACTTATGTTAATTTTAACTTATATTTTGAAGCTTGGAAAATCAGGTAATTASAATTTTAATTATATTATTTGTAATTAACAAAAATAAAAATATAGTTATTGGCTTAGTTGATACCCGCCCAGAAAGCATTCCTCTGCTTCTCAGGTATAGGTAATACCATCCCATTTTTCCCTCATACTTTTTA